TGGTGTATACAAATGCAAGAACTCATTGAGCAGTTCTGACATTTAAGATCAGTCCACTTGTGCACTCTATGCTACTTATATTACAACTCAAAAATAGTAATAATAATGAATAAACAATAAAAAAGGAAAAGAAAGAAACCATGGGCATGTTTTGAATTTCCAAAAGAGATCTAATGGTAGCAAAATTTAAGACAATATTTTTAGGATCTAAAGAAAATTGAGTTCCTGACTCAGAAAGCTCAAGTCTTATGGTAGGAAAATGCTGACTGGAATCTTCCATAGTCCAGGAGTCAGGGAAAGGGTTCCAGTTCTATCCCAGACTTCCCCTCTGCCTTTTCCCTTTTGCAAAATACATTAGCCCTGTTTAGTCAGCCCTTTGCCCCAGTAGCAATTATTCAGTCTTTTTCCCTATTTTTTTTTCTGAAAACATTCAAGACAAAATCCTAATCATCACCAGTTCAACTCACTAAGCCAAAGGAAGTTGTCATGTACAGAATAATGAGCATGCAGCCTGCAAAGAAGAAATGGTTTGTTTCCAAGGGACTCCTCCTGGGGTACAAGGTCGGAGGGAGAAGGGGATCTGGGGTAGCGTGATGGAGTTCAGTAAATGGTACTAGGCTGGTCTTCCTACTAAAAGACTTGGGTTCTAAATATAGCTATTTTTTGAATGTGTTGGGGGCAAATCATGCCAACATCTCATGTCATCATTTCTTCCTATAAAAATTCAGGATGATGAAACTGCAGGGATATCGTGAGGACTAAATCAGATCATGTGCACACAGTCGCACAACCAACAGAGACTAAAATAGAAAAGAAGTAGGAGGAACCAACATTTTCCGTTTTTTTCTTTTTACCTTTGTACTAGTTCCTTTTCTTTTTCTCTTACCTCCTGGTGTCTCAAAGGACCCCAGGCCCCCCTGCTATGGTCAAGACCACACTCTGGCACCTCCCTCAAGAACTCCACGCCTGAGATAGCGTCTCTAAGGCAAGTGCCCTTAGCCTGGGGCAGAGATGTGACAGCAGTGACAGCTAAGGTGCTGAGGAGGTGTCACTGAGGGCTGAGTGCTGGGGTTAATAACAAAGACCCAAATCAGATTTTTCCAGGCTATGAGGCCATGAGGAGTAAACTGGAGGACACATACTCAGGTGCACTGTACAGAGGGAAAGCAAAGCCCATTGTGGCAGGGATGACAGAGAAGAACAGGGGCTGGAATTAGACATCCAAAGGAATTTGGACTTTGTCCAGTAGGAGAAAGGGCGACATCTTAAGAGCTGTTTGGCCAGGGTCAGATTTGCATTTTAGGAAGACGATTCCAACAGCAGAAGGAATCAGGGGCAATTTTGCAGACAGGAAAACAAGTCAGGAGAGTTGAAGGCCTAAACTGGAGAGGAAAAAAGAGGGTTGAAAGACACTACCAGATTGATTTTCCAGGGGTTAAGTACATACTAGGATATGGGAGTAAGTAGGAGGAGCTGAGGTCAACTCAAACTTTCAGTGTAAGGCTGCCAGGTTTATCAAATAAAAATACAAGCTGTCCAGTTAAATTTGAACATCAGACTATTGATAAGCAATTTTTAGTATAAATATGTCCCATGTGTATTAGTCTGTTTTCACATTGCTATAAAGAAATGCCTGACACTGAGTAATTTATAAGGAAAAGAGGTTTAATTGGCTCACACTTTTGTAGGCTATATAGGAAGCACAATGGCATCTACTTCTGGGGAGGCCTCAGGGGGCTTTTACTTATGGTGGAAGGCAAAGCAGGAGCAGGTGTCATACATGGCAGGAGCAGGACTGAGAGACCAGAGGAGGTGCTGTGCATGTTTAAACCACCAAATTTTGTGAGACCTCAATCACTGTCATGACAATAGCACTGAGGGGATGGTGCTAAACCAGTCATGAGAACTCTGCCCTCAGGATCCAATCGCCTCCCATTGGGCCCCACCTCCAACATTGGGGATTACAATTCAACGTAAGATTTGGGTAGGGATACAGATCCAAACCATATCATTCCACCCCTGACCCCTCCATGTCCTTCTCACATTGCAAAAGTACAACCATAACATCACAATAATCCCCCAAATCTTAACTCATTCCAGCATTAACTCAAAAGTCCAAAGTCCAAAGTAGTCTCATCTGAGAGCATGTGAAATAAAAATGAAGTTAGTTACTCCCAGATCCAACGGAGGTATAGGCATTGGGTAAAAATCCCCTTTCCAAAAGGGAGAAATTGGCCAAAAGGAAGGGGCTACCAGCCCCATACAAGTCTGAAATCCAGCAGGACAGTCTTTAAATCTTACAGCTCCAAAATAATCTCCTTTGACTCCATGTCTCACATCCAGGGCACACTGGTATGAGAGGTGGGCTCCCAAAGCCTTGAGCAGCTCCACCCAGTGGCCCCCACAGCTGCTCTCAAGGGCTGGCATTGAGTGTCTGCAGTTTTCCCAGGTGCAGGGTGCAAGTTGTTGGTGGATCTACAATTTTGGGATCTGGAGGATGGTAACCCCCTTCTCACTGCTCCATTAGGCAGTGCTCCAGCAGGGATTCTGTATGGAAGTTCCAACCCCACATTTCCCCTTTGCACTGCCCTAGTAGAGGTTCTTCATGAAGGCTCCACTACTGTAGCACACTTCTGCCTGGACATCCAGGCTTTTCATCCCCTGAAATCTAGGTGGAGGCTCCCAGGCCTCAACTCTTGCACTCTTCACACTAGCAGGCTTAACACTATGTGGAAGCCGCCAAGGTTTATGGCTTGCATCCTCTGAAGCAGTAGCTCGAGCTGTAGGTGGGCCTCTTTGAGCCACAGCTGGAGCCAGAGTGGTTTGGGATGCAGGGAGTAGTGTCCCCAGGCTGCATAGGGAAGAGAGGCCCTAGGCCTGGCCCATGAAACTACTGTTCCCTCCTAGACCTCCAGGTCTGTGATGAGAGGGGTGCCACAAGATTCTCTAAAATGCCTTCAAGCCTTTTCCTCATTGTCTTGGCTATCATCACTTGCCTTCCTTTTAGTTATGCAAATTTATGTAGTTGACTTGAATTTGTTCCCCTGAAAATGGGCTTTTCTTTTCTGTCACATGGCCAGCCTTCAAATTTTCCAAGGTTTTATGGTCTGCTTCCCTTTTAAATATAAGTTCCAGTTTTAGGTAATTTCTTTGCTCATCATATGAGCATAGGTTATTAGAAGCAGCCAGATCACATCTTGAATGCTTTACTGCTTAGAAATTTCTTTCACCAGATACCCTAAAATCATCATTCTCAAGTTCAAAGTTCCACAGATACCTAGGGCAGGGGCACAACGCCTGTGAGTTCTTTGCTAATTCATAACAAAAGTGACCTTTGGTTCAGTTCCCAGTAAGTTCCTCATCTCCATCTGAGACCTCTTCAGCCTGGCCTTCATTGTTCGTATCAGCAACAGCATTTTGGTCACAATTCAAGCAGTGTCTAGGAAGTTCCAAATTTCCCCTCATCTTCCCATCTTCTTCTGAGCCCTCCATACTCCAACCTCTGTCTGTTACCCAATTCCAAAGTCACTTCCATTTTCAGGTATGCTTACAGCAATGCTCTACTTCTTGGTATCAATCATCTGTATTAGTTCATTCTGGCATTGCTGTAAATAAACACCTGAGACTGGGTAATTTATAAGGAAAAGAGGTTTAATTGGCTCACAGTTCTACAGGCTGTACAGGAAGCATAATAGCATCTACTTCTGGGGAGACCTCAGGGGGATTTTACTCATGGCAAAAGGTAAAGCCAGATCAGGCATCTCACACAGCAGGAGCAGGACCAAGGAGGGAGGGGGTGGGCCACAAACATGTAAACAGCCAGATCTTGTGCGAACTCAGTCACCAGCATGAGAACAGCACCAAGGGGATGGTGCTAAACCATTCATGAAATCTCTGCCTCCATGATCCAGTCACCCTCCCTCAGGTCCCACCTCCAACACTGGGGATTATAATTCAACAAGAGATTTTGAGTGGAGACAGGTTCAAACCATATCACCATGCAATACTTAATCTGAAGCTCAAATTAAATTGGGTGTCCTGTATTTCATCTGGCAACTCTATTTCAGAATCACCTCCCTAAAATGCAAATCTCAACTGTTTAATCTATTGCTATCTTAATTTGACTTCACAAGTCATTAATCTTCCTCAAAAGAGACTGAATTTGTCAGCTGGAATGAGTATTTGGATTGACTGAAAAATCATATTTCTCATTTTCAACCAGAGAGTCATCATGGTGAAGAGCATTTTCCCAGCACTATTTTTGTTTCAGTGTCATGGGCCATCTGTACCATGATGTATTTGGTATCTTTTAGATCTATATTAAATTAATTTACTTTTTAAATTTTGCATTGCCATATTATCTAAAACTTGCATGTACACCTTGGGAAATACCAATAGAGGAAAGAGAGCTGTGCTGGGGCTGGTCTGATCTGACTCCTACTCCACCAGCCCAGAGCCTCAGTCACTGTCTGGATGGAGAGGAAAATCCCCTGGTGTGCTGGCAAACCCTGAACTTGACTGGATTAGAGTAGGATGAGAGGGACAGGACAGTCAGGCTTCTGATAGGATGGACAAGTGGGAACTGGAGCTCAGGCTCCAGGAATCTAGGAGGTCCTCTGGCGGTGGAGCCCTATATGTATTTCGGGTCCCACTACCAAAGAGAAGACACATGGGGACTGGTGAGGGCCAAGAACATGGCTGGAGGTTGTGGTTGAGGAGTTTAGGACCAGATGAACAACATCTCTTTCCAGGGGCTGTAAGCAGATACTTCAGAATTCTTCTTGTGGGATTTGGACACAGACTGTGATCTACCTGCCTGCACAATGTCTAATTGTTCCTGACTTGTTAAGAAATCTTCTCCTAATACTTGGTAGCAGTTCAGGTTGATGTCAGCCCCTGGGCTGTCCAGCAGAGAGATTTTCCCAGGTTTCTCAGTGGACACTGGAGCCACCAGAACTGTGACACCCTGAACTTGAACCAACCAGCCAGTCTTGCAGAGGCACCTCTGACCCTAAAGGTCATGCCAAGAGCCCAGAGGCTCTGATCATGATCTCAGCATTTAATCTACATAATGGAGCCCACTGTTGTGTTTCCCAAATGCTACAAGGCTCTTTTGCTCCTGGTTTCACTGATCTGCTCCTCCTTTTAAAAAGACTCTTGGATTCTGCCAACATTATTCTGGGCCCCCACTCTCTGCTCACCAAGGTCTAAGCCCTGTGATGTGGGCTGATGAGTCCTTGGATACATTTCCCTGTGTCTTTCCTTGGTGTGCCAGTGAGACAAGAGATGATGGGGGTCTGTACTGTATTTCCGTGACACAAGGCTGTTCTGACGGGGCACGGCAGAGGGGCTGGGCAGGAGAGAGTATGAAGTGTCTGTTATGTGCCAAGCATTGAGTGAAGCCAACTGTCACAATAATCCTGGAGGCAGATACTATCATCTTCAGTTTATAGATGAGGAAAGCTAAGCTCAAAGAGATTAAATAACTGTGAAAGGCAGAAAAAACAGAGGTGGAATTAGACTTCAGGCCTTGTGACCTTAAGTCTGGTGCTCTTTGAGTCATGCCACCTGAAATGAATTTAAGTGAAAGGGCAATTGTTGGTTCAATTCTGATGCCATAAGAATTTGAGGGGACACCCTCTGTGTGCCTAAGGATGAGGCCCAAAACAGCGAACATAATTCAGGAGACTCTGCATGGGCAGAACATACCGGTAACATGTCCTGCAAGCTTTAACTCCTGTTCTTTCTTCATTCTAGTTTCACAGTCTTCTTTCCTAATGACTATTATCAGATCCATATACCCACGTTAGTTAGAGTAAATGTTAGGCTTCTGTAACATATAATGGCTTAAACTTAAGTTTATCTCTGTCACATGAAATTCCAGGTGAGTGGTTCAGAGCCGGTACAAGACAAAATGGCTTCCTCAGCTCCTACTGTCACATCTTGCATCCTTGCCATCAAGAGGGAGGAGAGCATGCAACTTCTTTTTAAGAGTCTGACCTTGAGGAATGCACATATTACCTATACTTATTTATCTCATGCTGTCCCAAACAATGACATGAACAACTGTAGCTGCAAGGGAAGTTGGGAAATGTAGTCTTTATCTGAGTTGCCATGTACACAGTAAAAACTTCTGTTGCTGTAGAAGAAGAGAAAAAAACTGGGGAGAACATAGAGGAGCCACTACTACAAAAGCTTGGGGACACTCTTACGTGAATTGATAGGCCTTTTATGTTTTCTTTAAGAAGTCTGGGCTGGGCAGTATGGCTCATGCCTGTAATTCCTGCACTTTGGGAGGCCAAGGCAGGCAGGTCATCTGAGGTTGGGAGTTCAAGACCAGCCTGGCCAACATGATGAAACCCTGTTTCTACTAAAACTACAAAAATTAGCCAGGAATGATGGCAGGTACCTGTAATCCCAGCTACTCGGGAGGCTGAGGTGGGAGAATTGCTTGAACCCAGGAGGTGGAGGTTGCAGTAAGCCGAGATCATGCCACTGCACTCCAGCCTGGGTGACAGAGTGAGACTCCATCTCAAAAAAAAAGAAAGTTTAGATTATGTAGCTTAGAGCCACAACTCTGCCACTTAGGTGTGCCACTTGACAAGTTGTGTAACTTCTCTGAGTCCCAGTTTTTCCTCTGTACAATGAAGTAACAAAATTAGTCCACCTACCAAACTGGGATGTTGGGAGGCCCAAATAAACTAATGTCTTTGAGTGCTACATGTAGGCTGCAAGGCTGGGTGACAGTGAAGTACTACAGCCTTAGGCCACCTTTTTGGTTTTTGTCTGCGTGTTTGTTAAGCATTTGGTGCTGGTTCCTCAGCTATGTTTAGGGTGAAAACCACACATCCAATTCTTCTATATTGTATTTCCACTCTCAGAGGAACATTTGAGCACATCCTATTCACTTCTGCTGGTTAGCCTGCCTCTCTCCCCAGAGCCCCACCACTCTGGTGGGCTCCCATCCTTCCCTTGGGTGCAAGTCACTGCCAACCCACACCCACTGGCCACTTCTGATCTCTAATCACATGTAGGTAATAAAGGCCCCAAAACTTACTTCTCCCAAAGTGGATTTGGGTAGAGGGCCTGGAAACAGGCCCTGCGGGAAGGAGCCCAGGGTATGGCCCCCAGCAACGCTCATCTGAGCCATTTTCCCCAAGCATATGCAACAAACCTCAAAAGGCTCCCTCAGCATGCTTTTGCACCCCAAGTTGAGTTTGTATGACAGTCTGCAGTGTGTGTTAGTTACAGCAGAACCAGTTCTTATCTATTAGCTTCTAAGCTCCTTAAGGAAAGAAGGAAATAAACATTTTCTCAGCATCTGTTCTGCCTTAGGCACATAAACAACTTGCCAGCATTTATTCCTCACCCAACCTCACTGCCAGCAGAAATTATGGCCTCCTTCTTGGAAGACGAGGAGTCAGAAGTTGAAAGAGTACCTTGTTCAGTACCAGACAGCCATCGAGTGAAGGAGGCAAGATTTCAATCCAGGATCTGATGCCAAGTCTGGCTCCCTCCTATGATACCATGATTAGTTTTATTGTAGCTGAGTGTGAAAAGGTAGAAACCATGTGTTCAGCCATTGTACCTTCCCTTGAACACTAACACAGTTTCATGTCAGTAGAGCCTCAAAAGGGTTAAAGAGAATGGCATTTTTCACCATTTTATCTCTGACAGTGCACAGCACAGTTCCTGACGTGTGAAGCTGGTCATTATGATATTTACTGGATATACAGAAATTGTTGGATTGATAGTTTAAAAAGAATCATAGCTGCATTCATTCATTCCAAGAGCTGAAGGTGAAAGTGCCTTGCAAAGCCTTCCTGGGAGTAGGATTGTCATACAGATAAAACAAGTGAATGAAATCAGGAAAAGGTTTTCCTGGACGCGACTCTTCATGCCTGGCTTCCGGGCAGAACCACAGTCAGAGTTAACCAAGGGCCTACTGTGGTTAGTGCCTGGGCCACACTCACAGCCATGAATCTGTGGCAAAAGCAGATGGCACTTCCAGCAGACATCCCCCAGAGGAGAGAATTTTCCTTGAGGCATGTGTATGGCAGCCATCCATCCCAGGTTTTCTGGCATGGTCCAATTTCCCATCTTTTGTCTCAAAGTCCTTAGAAGGACATATGTATGGTGCAGGTAAAGTCCTGCTTTTAGTTATTTAATTTATTTATTTTTACAGGCAGCCTCCCAAACCAGAGTAGGCTCAGAGAGACTCCCGAGTCCTTCTTTGGAATTTGGAATATATGGTTACGGCAGGCACGTGGGAAGTGCCTTTTATTGCCTCCCACCTGCAGATCAAAGGCAGAGGGGCCACCCACCCAGGTCAGCCTGTTTCACCCGGGAAAGGGAGGGCCATCTGCTCCAGTCAGGAAGCCCTGGGGAGCCTTCTAATAGAGAAAGCACACCAGGGCCAGAGAAGGGCTGTGTCCTAAGAATTCGACAGTTCCCGAAAAGTCAGAGAAAGTGGCAACAGGAAAGAAACAACAGCAGAAGCAGAAACTGCTCTTTTGATTTCATTGCGCAAAGGAAGGTGGTGGCCCACGGCCTCTTATGACACACACACATAGAAGCATATTTGGGGAAGTGTGTGAGAGCTCTCCCCAAAGATGTCTTCAATTAGAGGCCAACCCTGGGCGGCTGCCCTGGGGCAAGCTGGGATGCTCTTTGTGGTTGGGCTCTTTCCACACTCAGGTGGGGTCACTGCTGGGTAACTATATGCCTAGCAAGCACAGCTAAACCAAGCCAAAAGCCTATTTGTTTTCTAGGATCAGTCTGTTAACCCCTCAACTCCCAGCCCAGCCAGGCAGGTCCCTATGGGTTAAGCTTTGTGCTACGCCTCAGGAGACCTTGGGTCTCATCAGCTCTGAAGCCTGGGGCACATCACTTTTTTCCTCTGACCTCAGTGTTCTCACTGCTTCAGTAAGGAATCAGGAAGACGAACAGAGGTGGAGATGCTTACTGCACACTAGCTGAGCACTTTGCCCTGAAGTGATTCAACACTAAAAAAGCTCAAAAGTGTTAGTTTTCTTCTGCTGGGTAAAATCTGTGTGTTTCGACACACCCTATTCATTCATTCACTTGCTTAAACTTGTACTGAGCATCACTACACACCAGCACTGCTGAGTAACAAACACTATTAGTGTCTTCTTATTGAGTTCGTACCAGGTGTCAGGTGCTTTATGTAGATTACCCCCACTTAATCCTTCTCACAGGAAGGATTGTGAGGAAATGTGGGAAAGGTTGGAACTTCCTGGAGACTTATTGTATGGTTTTGCCCAGTATCTTCATTTTAATTTATTTACTTTTTTTTTTTTTTTTTTTTGAGACAGGGTCTTACTCTGAAACCCAGGCTGGAATACAGTAATGCAATCATAGCTCACTGCAGCCTTGACCTCCCAGGTTCGGTTGACCCTCCCACCTCAGCCTCCAGAGTAGCTGGGACTACAGGTATGTGCCACCATGCCCAGCTGATTTTTATATATATATATATATTTTTTTTTTTTTTTCCTTTTTCTTCTTTTTTTGAGATGGAGTCTCGCTCTGTTAGGCTAGAGTACAATGGAGCGGTCTCAGCTCACTGCCACCTCTGCCTCCCTGGTTCAAGCAATTCTCCTACCTTAGCCTCCCAAGTAGCTGGGATTATAGGCACGCAGCATCATGTCCAGCTAATTTTTGTATTTTTAGTAGAAACGGTGTTTCACCATGTTGGGCAGGATGGTCTTGAACTCCTGTGATCTGCCCGCCTTGGCCTCCCAAAGTGCTGGGATTACAGGCATAAGCCACCATGCCTAGCAATTTTTATATATTTTTTGTAGATATGGTGTGTTACCATGTTACCCAGGTTGGTCTCAAACTCCTGAGCTCAAGCAATCTGCCCACCTCAGCCTCTCAAAGTGCTGGGATTACAGGCATGAGCCACTGTGTCAGCAATACCTCCATCTTTAGAGCAAGAAAATATTAAGCAACTTGCTCTAGGTCACTCATCTTTCATTCTTGATCAGGCTC